GTGTCTGCGGACACGCAGCGGTTCCCTGTGCCCGGACAGGTACCTGCTCCAGGAGTCCTGCCGGGAGGCTGCGCTTGTTGGTGGCCGCCGCCTTCTGAAGGAGCTTCTTGGCTTCCTCCATCCTGCCTTTGGTCACCAGCCACCGAGCTGACTCTGGGAGCACCCTGCCGAGGAGGGGAGCTCAGCACATGCTGCTCTGACCCGCGGAGCTCCCCCACAGCCCTTTGTCACCACACCCGCAAACAGTGGGCATGCCATGGGAGGGATGGGCCTAAATGCCCTACCTTTGGGCTCCAAAGGCCACATCTGATGACCTGAAGCAAAGCAGGTGCTGCTCTCAGCAGCCCAGTGTCCCAGGGAGCTGTGCTGAGCTCTGCAGAAGCTCCTCCAGCATCTGCACTGTGATGGGAAAGACCCATCCTGGTGCTGAGCTGCTGCTGCCTCCTCACTCCCACCCTTCACGCTGCTGACATGTCTGCAGGAGCTCTGTCCACATCCCACTTACCCAATGAAGAAGAAAAAGGCAAATATAGGAGCGGATCCTGCAATCTCCAGCAGCCTCCAGTTGCGAATCCCATAACTCAAGCCAGCCAAAATCATCTGTCCAATGGCGAAACAGCAGTGAGAGGAAAGCACTGCCTTAGGCCGGGAGGAGACACCAATCCACTCTGTGGCTGCAAAGAAGAACAAAGGCTCTGAGTCATCAATATAAATTATTTCCACTGTAAAAAACATAGTGTTTCCCCTGGAGAAGAGCCCTCCTGGAGGTGAGGATTAGAGACCAGCAGCTGGAGCTCTGGCATTAGTCACACATGCATGTCACCAGTGTTTACATGGGATGCATCACCTCTCCATACTGTCAGACTGTCTTGGTCCTCTACAGGAGGATGTTAAGCTCAAATATGTCACCTCTTTGATCTCAGAATCCACAGAATCCCTGACTGGGGCAGAGCTGGAACCCAAATCAATCATGTCCTAGAGCCACTGGGCTCTCTGTGCACTGGCCTCCTGAGCTGGGACATTGTCCCTTTTCCCTCCTCTGAGCACGGGCAGGGGAGAGATGCTCCCTGTGGCTCTCACTCAGGGTTGAGGAGATGCCAAAGTGCCAAAAAACAGCACAGAGCATGACCTGTCCTTGCTGCAGTGTTTTTTCCAGTCATACATGATGATTTTTATTTCTTCATAGACGTTTCCTGTTGCACCTTGACAGGCCACATCTGTCTGCCTTGGGGCCAGGGTGTCCCACTCACCTAAGGACAGTAATGTCATGGTGATTCCTGACACCGAAGCCCCCACGACACACCTGAAGGCCATGTACACATAGAAATGGGGCACAAAGGCAATTCCCAGACCAAACAAGCCCTGGAGGAAGACTGAGATCAGAATGACTGGCCGGCGGCCGATCCTGCGGAGAAGGAAGACACAGTCGGTATCTGCAGAGACCCCGTGGGGATGGGGAGGAGCCCAGCAGGTTATGCAAGTGATTTTATCACCCTGAAGGGTGATAAGGTTCAGATTACACTCTGGGTTGACCAGTGAAGGACCCTGTGCACACATGCTGTGTCTCCCTCCCTTCCCTTCCCTGTGGGGCCGTGTCCTCATGGGACCTGAGGACTTTGGTCAGGGTCCCTGTGAGTGAGGAGCACTGACAAAAGGCACAGGGTGCAGCATCCAGAGAGGCTCAGACCAGAGTGCTGACTTTGCACACACCTTGGGTGGGTGGTTGTGTCTCCTCACCTGTCACTCAGCGGCCCAAAGATCATGGATCCCAGGAACAGCCCCACCATGTAGATGGACTGGGCGATGTCATTCAGGTCCTTCCTGTCACACACCAGGTCAAACTGGAGAAAGGACAAACAGATGCTTTTGGATTCCCATCCTCCCAGGATGTGATGTCCACAGTATGCACAGGGCAGACAAGTCAGAGGTGGGACAAGTCCCTGGGGTACTCAGTGGTGCCCCTCTCCCAAGCACTGGGACCTGCAGGAGTCCCCCTACCCAGTCCAGGCTTCCCCAGGGGAACCTCCTGGTTAGCAAATTTTGCTTCAGGTGGGACAAAAATCCCAGCAGTTTGATTCCTTCCAGGCCTCCTGCCCTCGCAGAGGAGAAAGGATGAGTGCAGTACTGATTCCTGGGACAGGCAGTTCAGCAACTGCCAGTGACCAGAGGGCATCTATAGAAAGAGGAACACAGGGGGGATCATAGAATCATAGAATGGTTTGGGTTGGAAGGAACCTTAAAAATCATCTAATTCCAACCCCCAGCCATGGGCAGGGACACTTTCCACTAGACCAGGTTGCTCAGAGCCCCATCCAATCTGGCCTTGAGCACTTCCAGGGATGGGACGTTCACAGCTTCCCTGGGCAACCTGTGCCAATGCCTTGCCACACTCACAGGAAAGAATTTTTTCCTAATATCCAATCTAAATCTACCCTCCTCATCTTAAATTAGCTTCTTCCTCAGCTACCAGCTTCTATGTTGGGGGTTGGACTAGATGATTTTTAAAGGTCCCTTCCAAGCCAAACCATTCTATGATTTTAAGTTAGAAAGTTACCCCCTGTGTGCAGAGAGGTAGGGAAACCCAGAAGGTCCCACCAGGAGCGATTCATCTCTCCACTGGCTCTGACATTGACCCCGCTATCACAGCCTGCTTTGCCTGCAGTCTCTCCAAGAGGACCACACCTGGGGCTGGGTGGTGGAGCCCATTTCCCCAAAATACATGTGATGTAAACCTCAGCCCAGCGCAGCTGCACCGTGGTCAGGCACCAGCTTTTGGGGAAACCCCAGGACAGGGCGGCTGTTTGGGTGTCCCATCCCTTCCACGTCCCCCATCACCTCAGAAAGGGGTTACAGACCTCGGTCAGCAGGGAGGGTGGCTCTGCTGAGGGGTACACCCAGCCACTGCTGCACTTCTGCGTGGCGTTCAGGCCATATGTCAGGATGGAGTCCAGGTCCCAGTCCACCGGGGAGTACATGGAGCACTGCTCGTACTGCCCGTCCGCATCCCGGGGCAGGGTGAGGTTCAGCTGCTCTTCCTGCGTCAGGTTGGGGCCGACAGCGAGGATCCAGCTGGTGTCACAGTGGTAGGGCACATCCACAACCATGAAAAGCTGGCAGAACTGGTGGAAGGCCACGCTGAGGCAGGGGATCAAGGTGAGCAGCACCAGGCATTTCTGAAATGGCCCGAAATCGCCAACTGCTTTCAAAATTTCCCCGACGCCTGACATTGGTGACTGCGTCTGGAGCAGGACAGTGCTGGGACAGACTTCCCAGAGGGCTGGAATTAATGTTTAAACCTAAGATAAGCTCTGCACTCGTAGGCTGTCACCACAAGTACACCATGTAATATATTAATCATCCCTCTGCCACCCACGAACATCCAGGGCTGGCTGGAGAAGAAAGACCCCGTTTCAGGGAACTTGGGCCACCCCCTCTGCCAAGTGGCATTGACAGATTCTTCTCCATAGTGACTGCAAAGGCTGCTTTTGCTGAACCATTTAAAAAAGCAAGGATCAGAGAGGCCAAAATCCCAGAGGAATAAAGGGAGTGATGTTCATGGATGGACAGAGCCACAGATAAGGAAGGGCAGTCAGTTCACTGTGGTCCCAGGTGATGGAAGTTGCCGTTTCCTTCATCTTTTGCAGCTTCCCTGTGCAACCACAAGCAAGTCAGGCACAGAAAGCCCACCCTTCCCACCAGTTCTGGCCCACCCCACAGAATGGTCAGGGTTATATGCATGAAAACTTGAAGAAGTGCAGGGATTGGAGAAATTTGACACAGGGCAATGCTGCCTGAGGCAGGTTTCGCAAATCTCAGCTCAAATGCCTTAAACTCATCACAGAGAACGAGTCAAGCGCTGTTCAGGTCATTCCCTGATGTAGGAACAGCATTTGCCTGGGGGCCCTTTGAGATGTCCATAAGGCAAAAATCTCCAGAGGTACCCAAAAGCAACTTGGATGCTTCTTCTCCTGCCCACAGATCCGTGGAAAGATCCATAAGCAAGATGGAAACCAGACCATGGCTGCCCTGTTGGGGTTGACCAAGACACCCACACAGGTCCAGCCTGGAGGTACAGCAGCCCCCCAGGGAGCAATCTTGCCCTTGGGATAAGCCCAGCTCAGCAACCACAAGCAGGGAGCACCAAAGGCAGGGATAATTAGGCAGACACTGATCTGGACAACACAAATTGGATCTGTTCAAGTCAATTGGGAAACTCATGTGGAGGATGAAATCGTGTCCCTGTTCAGCTTGGGCTCTGCTTCATCAGGAGACAGGTCAGGCCAAACTTCGCTAAAAGCAGTCACATACGGCCAGGAGTTCAGGAGCCTTTCCCAGCCCTGCTCCTGCCGTCTCCCCTGGCTGTCTCCTGGCTCTGGGCTAGATGGAATCTGGGGCACAGGGCAGCCTCTTTCACTCTTCTCTGCCATGGTTTAAATGGGAAAACCCAGGAGGGTGAGTCACACACCAGCCATAGGTCTCATGGATCTGGAGAAGGAGAAGCCAGAGGACTGGCATCAGAGAACTTGAGCTGGGCATCACATTTACGGGAGACTAGAGCATACTGAGGCCCTGGACCAAGGGAAAGAGCAGGAAGCCACTGCCGGGAGCTTCCAACAAGAGGTGAGGAGGCAGCAACAGCTGATTGGAGCTGAGTCACATCTCTGGGCTGGGATCATCTCCCCAGGAACTGGCCAGGGCACATGACACACCTGTCCTTGGCTTTTGGTAAAAGTCAGGAGGAATCAGTCTGCTGCAATTTGAGTTTTTGTGCACCAAAGTCGAAGCACAGGAAGAGCAACGCTTCCAGGCACCTCAGCCATCAAAACACCATTTACCACAGCACAGAACAATCAAAAATGAAACAGTGCTACAAACCTGAGTGACCTGCTCCATTTCAGGAGGTGCACACAATCCAGGGGAATTCCATTTGCCAATTCATCATTTCGGAGGAGAGGCTTGGAGAAGGTGATGAGGACGCAGTAAGAAGAGCGGGGAAGGCCAGAGGCATGGGCAGTATGAGCACTCAGAAAGGGAAACCTCCAAGGACAAAGGGAACTGGGGTGGACCTGACAACCACAGGAGGGCTAAGGAGGCACTGGGATAAGGCAGCATGGAAAGGCTTTAGCAGTGTCCATATGGGGATTCCCTACAGAGGCTGGTATGGGAGACATAACTGAGATATCGTTCTCTGGGGCTTTCTAAGCAGGGTTTGGCAAAATACTGGGAAGAAGTTGGCTTAGGTGTACAGGATGGGATTCCCTAACCCAGAGCATCCTGGACCATCCCATGTCTCAAACCTGCAAGTTACCCAAGGTAAAGTTTTCTGGATCTGTGGGTAAAGAGGAACACCTTAAGAGAAACAGAGCCAGAAAGTGGCAAACTAAGCCCAAGAGCCTTAGCAAGGAGAGTCAATGGAAGAGGAAGCTTAGGAAGTGCCACCAAGCAAGACCACCACTTCTTTTTTGTTTGTTTATTTTGGTGGGGGGTTGTTTGGTTTGGTTTTAAGCAAGAACATGCACATTTTTAATGAGACACAGATGGGTACATCCCAGCCAAAAGGCCTGGTGAACATGGTTGGAACTGGACCATCCCTATCACCTCCTTAAAGACACACCTTGTCCTCGAGAGTCCCTGAAATTTTAGAGAAACTTCTCTGTTCCCACAGCCTGTTCTGTCTCTCCTAATGGAGGCACCATGACTTTGCTCCAGCAAAACCCACTAAGCTCTCAGTCAGGTCAACAAAACTCTTGGAATTTGGATGAACAGGGCACCTTGGAGACAGGTTTCCATATATTAGGAAATATATTAAGGAAAGATTTCCAAAAGGATCTCCTGTGAGAAATACTAGGGATTTTTTTACTTCTCAGGCAACATTTCCCTTCACTCCTGAAAATTTGTGGAAGGTGAACAAGAAATACTGAAGGAAAGCAATAGAAGGTACCTCTGGATCACATCTGCCCCAGAGCCTCAAATTCAGACAGAACAATTACTGTGAAGGTGGAGAGGAGGGAATGCAGTTCATGCTCCAAATGCTTCTCAAGGTGTAAATCATTCCACTTTAAAACCAGACTCTGTCACCTTGAGGTGTTTCTGGACAGGGGAAGCTGATTCCCAGCTGGCACAAGGCATGCAGAGCTTGGAGCAAATCTCTCAACTGCAGACAAGCCCTCAGAACATCATCTTAAGAGCCCTCCTGGCTCCACTTCTGCACCCAACTCCTGCAGAGCACAGAATCATCCAAGTTAAGAGTTGAAATGGACCTTAAAAATCATCCAGTTCCAACCCCCCTGCCACGGGCAGGGACACCTTCCTCTAGACCACATTACCCAGAGCCCCAGCCAGCCTGGTCTTGATCTCTCTTTCCCCACCAAGAGGGTTGTCAAACCTCCCACCACCCCAAACAGAAATGCCCAAGGGGTTGCATCTCGGACAAACCCCTTCCCCAAGACACACCATCCAACCCAGTGACATAAAAGCCACACACCAAACACCTGGCAATGGACAATTTGTTCTTTATTGATTAAAAATTAGAGACATGCAGTAAAATACAAAGTCCAAAAAAGGAAAA